TGGCAAACGTTTTAGCCTGAGGAACTAATGACTTTTAATTAAGCAGAATAAGTTTAATTCGTTTCAAAATGTACCTCAACGGCGTTTCTATGCCTTGACTGAATCATCAAAGAATTGCATCGAAATAGTTAAATTGATTGGATCGAATTCGCTGGTCACAAAATCTGAAATAAGATAAAGAGTCCGAATTGCATTTTTTGTCATTTAAATGTTTGGTACACCTTTCGGGGTGGTCTCTTTAGATCTTCAAATAATACATTTTCATAAATAGGTGATGATTGTGCGGTATAAAGGAAAATCGAAACGTATTGTTCTCAGATTTAAAAGTACATCAGTGCAATTCAACAACATTTGTATGTGAATAATTTTCAAAGAAATAGTCCGTTATTATTGCAAAGCCATATGGTTATTATATTAACCTTTTGCCCAAAATCATAGGTTGATCAGAATTGGGCATTGTATTGGAATTTGGGTGACGGTAACGGTTAAGGGGCGTTACCACCTGTCGTCGGCACAAATACTTTAGAAGTATAAAGGCACTTGATGCTATATAGTAAATTACTTAAACATATCTTAAGTCATCTTATCTTTGAAGTTTGCCGCCCCACGCGACCCAGTATGATCTAAAGTTTTTAAATACCGTACAGTTTGGGGAGCCCTGGGGGTACAGGTATATACCATTAACCTGTTTCTTACTTTTGATTGGAAGACACAAAAATACGACAGGTGTATCCCCTTGTACCGTTCAGTGCTTTGTCATTGAAGGCCACCACACGGCGCCTCTGTCAATAAAAGCAGATGGTCATTCTACCAGCAAACGATAAAAACATTGCCTAAAAGACGATAGGTCCGTTATATCTAACTCTATGTACCCATTGGATAGTAACTTTCTAAAATAAGGTCGTCCCTGTGTATCGGTATGAAAACCAACACGCGACATTATACTCTTTGGCGCGCGCCAAACGGCGTTCTTTTTCTTACCATTTATATAAGTTCATAAATATATCGGGGAGTTACAAGGGTAATATTTTAACAAAGCCTTTTCATATAAAACCTAAACGTGAACCAACCCTTTCAAATGAAAATCCTTTGCCGAATAAATAACCCAAGTAGGACTGCTAACGAGTAAAACTACACTTTTTCAAAATGTTAAATCTTTATTTGTAAGAGTTTCAAAAAGTTCAAGGAAAAGTAAAAACTTGAAAAAGTTTCATTGAAATAAAATGTTAAAGTTCGAAGACATCAGAGCTTTTATGAAAATTGATCAATGGCGACAGTGTTTTTCAATAGTGGTTCGTGATACTATATAATGCCCCATGATTTTGAGCAGGGTTTAGTTTTTTTTTAATATAATAAAAATCACGTCAATAAATCTAAAAAATATTAAAGTTGAATGATAAACTTTTAAGATTATGTCAACTGATAAAGATACGGCGCGTGCACAAGTGTGTCACACGCGCAGCTATATGCAAATACGAGTAAAGATTTGGCGGGAAACAGTGTTATTACGACATTCAGTGACCATCTGCTTGAAGATGATTTTTTATGAAAAGTTTAGAAACTAAATGACCTTGTATGAGTTCTGTGTCAGTTAAGATGTTGATAAAAGAAATCGTAGTACCTGTTGCTTTATTCTCAATTATCCTTTCTTTTATGATATTTCATGTTATAAACATAATGTTCATTTTTTTTTCTTATTTTATCATCTGCGGCAAGATTCAGGTGCTTACAAATTCCGCGCCAAATATTGTTATTTAGCCGTTTTTAAGTTGATTGATGACAATTTTCTAGCACACAGGTGTAGAAAAATATTTATATAAGATATTTAAAACACCTTGTATTTAAATTATTACTTCTCATCAATAATCACGTCATAATATGGAATAAAACGTGATAAAAGCTGTTACAAGTGGGCCGTTATTGGTCAAAAGTGGGCCGTTATTGATCGAAAGTGTGATGTATTAAATTGTTTCACTAATATTATGATTTTCACCTGTTTGATGGATGAATTGGTTTTCAATAATTGGCTTTAAGTAACAGAAATTGGTCGAACATAAGTACCAGTACAAATATTTTGATGTTTTGGACAATTGTTACAATATCTTTAGATGAAGATATTTATGTCTCTGAACATCTGCTTGGTCCGTTTTGAAGTTTTTGAACAAGTGGCTATAATTATTCTTGCAGAGTTCTTGATATTTTTCCACACGTTTAAATCTCTGTCGCGACCGCGAACTCAAAATGATTCAGAAGTAACGTTAGTTCAGGAATTTATTTCTTTCTTAAAACCTGATATGAAATAAATATGAATATTAAAAGAGGTATCAATGAAATAATAGGTAGTTTATAAATTGTGAAAATATTTTAATTTTGTCACATTTTTTGAGTATTTGCTACTATTTTAATGAAAAGAAAACAAAAGAAAGATGACAATTTTTGATGAAATGGGAATGAGATTCTAACTGATGGACCCATGTAAAAAAAAACTGTATTTTCTTAATGAACTAAGTCAGAACAAAAGTTATTTATCCAATGGACCATTTTGTTTCTATCATTAATTGGCACACGTTGATGTTTGAATAACTTCAAAAAGATTTCACTAATTGAAATTAGCAGTTGATTAAGTTTCAGCACTTTTGATATCGGACCTTAATTTCTGATAATACATGCCGAATTGTTGACATTTCATAATATTTCGTTTACGCAATAAATAATATTTCTGCAATTTGTACGCAAGCTATTCCGTTAATGTAATTGTCCACTCTAATTGACATGTAATAATATTTCGACAGGTTAGCTCAATGGCTCCAACTCTATCGTGTTAATTTCTATCATATTTCATTAATTGCAATTAGCATCGTGTGAAATGTTTGATCACCTGTAATCGTTGCTATGATGTCATGTTTCTGATGGAACCAGAAACAAGATGGCGGTTCTGAGAGTTTTGCGTGAGTGTAAACTAGTGTCATTAAAAAAATTATTGGTTGACATATTTCAAACATATCTAAATTGTGTCAAACAACGCAATCCATGAGATTTTTTTTTTGTATCTGATCTAAGATTGTGGGACAGAATGCATACTTCTGTTTAAATATATGATATGCATTTGCCAGATATATAATTATGCTTACATTGCGTTCATACTCTGAAAGTGTCGCCAATATGGCAAACGCAATCGTCTAGTCTCATTAGATGTGAAATATGAGCACTGTTTTGAAATCGAAGGAGAAAATTGTCTTTTGAAATTCTCACATCGTCTGCTTTTGTAATAAAGCCACATATACTTATATATCTTTGTCGAACTGCATATGGCGTTTGAGACTTAAAATTGTCATATATTAATTTATATCATTTTGAAAAACGTCTGTGGTATACAGAAATACGTACGATATTACGTTAATGATATAAACGTTTTGATATATTAGAATCCAGGGGCTAGGCAGATGTTGTTTTCTCTGTCTCCATCTTAATTAGTCGTGTGGCTGGCCTCCTTGTACAAATCTGTCTCTAAACAGGTGTACCATTCAAAATATATAGCATTAAAATTTTAATAAAGGGTTGGAGTGCAGGTTAACAGAAAAGCGCGCCAAAACGCTCGAGTGATAAGAGCGATAAGATCAGGTGCCCGGCGTTCTACCAACTTCATGTGAAGGAATGAGGATGAATTTTGATAGTTAACCTTCAACTATTGTTAAAGAAATAATTGCTTCTTGGAAGAAATTCAACATAACAGAACATGCCCAGGTGCAATGTCTTTTGCATGCTGATATGGTGGCACGCGCCTTTAGTCCATATAAGGGCTCGGTCCCACGTGACAGGGGTGGGGACAAAAGAAAGGCAGGTGCATCCTCTATTTCGGCAGCTGAGAACACAAAGAAACTTTTATGACCCCCATTCATCGAGCACAAAAACTTGGTCCAGTCTTTTGATTGGGGCCACGCGACATTCAACTAAATTTGAATACATTATCATTTAAACGGGATCTTTTAAACTAAGGCTTAAACATTTTATTTTGTACTGTCGACCATAGAACAAGTGTGCGCTTCGGACATTAGGAAAATCTAACACGGATTATAGCAGCGACGGAATATCAGATTAAAAATGCAGGTGAGGAGGGAACTTAATTAGTCCGAGACGATGGAAACTCATTAACACTGACTCGAGACTGTACGACGATGTTGGGTTCGCACTTGACGACTTTAAAAGACTTCTAAAACAATAGGTTAAAACGTTAATTGACAGTCGGAGTAGCGATAATTGGTCTGGGCCTACCGGACAGCGGTCATCGAAATCTATTGTCTTAAACCGACCAATGGGTAGATAGAGTTTGGCACGCGACTTTCGTTAATTGGTGAGGTAAATAAATGTAAAACAAGGGTACATAAGGCGGGCAAGTTAGTTAAATCCTCAGTCAACGATCTTTAACCCTACAGTAAACGCGTGCCAACTTTACTATATTTTTACTATACCAGTGTAAACGTAATCTAGGATTATTAGCAGTATAAAAACAAAGAAAACGAAAGAAATAGCTTGAAACTGGAATAATATAATATAAATAACTTATGTTTAGATTTGTGGTTAAGGTTCGTCAAATTCTTCATCTCCAAATCATTGTTTTTTGGTTGAAATTCATTGTTTAGTTGAGTCCACGTGTTTGAAAATACCGGTAGTTAACCCATTTGCTTTCATTCTCTTACAGACTGTCAATCATTAGTGGGAGGAGTCTAACTGGTCGTGTGTTGAAGCGAGTCTTGAAGCCAATCTCCAATATAGTAGAATCGGTGAGACTGTAAACATACAAGATGCGATCTCGGAAAGCGGCATCGTGTGCCGTTCTCTGGATTATACCCATACTGTTCACAGTGACACAGGTATGTTATGAATTGTATATTTCAATATCAAAAAAAACTTTAAAAATTTCAATATTGATTTGGCATCTATAATTCCTCAAATGTTTTCAATATTTTATTTCAAAATGTTTTTTTTTTTACTTATTTTAGGTTAAAGCATTAGGAACGTTTGAATTAAAATTAACGTCGTTCCTTAATGCCCATGGACTTAATTCGGATGGGAATTGTTGTAACGGTTTACGAACGGCTGGAGTATGTAGTTCTTCTTGTAAAACATTCTTTCGAGTTTGTTTGACCCATTATCAATCGGAAATATCTAATAACCCTGAGTGTACTTTTGGATCTAAAACTACCAGTGTGCTTGGAAATAATACTATTCAATTCAATAAGGATACTGCTTCTCAGGAATTTAAAAACCCTGTTCAGTTCGAGTTTCAATTTTCATGGCCGGTAAGTAAAAGTTATTTTCTTTGTGTTATATTATGAACTTGGATAGCTTCTGTTCTTCTTTCTTGCCAGCTATTTTTAACTTGTGCACTTGAAGTTCAGGTAAAAACAGGCATTAAAGACGTATAACGCAATATACCAATATGCAATTTTGAAGTACAATAAGAGTATATGAGAGAAATATTGTGATATACTCTTTGAGTATAATGAGGAGAGATAACAGTATTATTTTGTTATCTATCTATGCATCATGATGTAAGGAATTAATTAAAGATGCTTGTATATGATGATTAATATACCATGCTCAAAGTATATTGTATAAAGTTACCGGTATTGTATACATACAATTGTATATCGCTATATTACCTTGAACATCGATCTCTAAGACAATAGAAATATAAATAAGAAATACAGTACATAGAGAATTGTATTGATTTTGGGACTGTATAGTGAAAGAATAAGGGTCGACAGCTTGCTGGGACTCACATTATAAACGCTAAATAGCCAGTGACACATAGTAAAAAGGTCGGACTAATTGGGTCACTCAGATACATGTATTTACCTGGCATAATCGACCAATGTCCTTGACCCTTAGCTTCCAAGATAGCAGTATACTGCAATTCCATCTGAATATTCGATATCTCTGATCTGGATATCCAAATCTTATCTCCTTGGCATTATAAACAATCTCGTATTGCATTCCTGATAAAAAGTCTCTTTGATATTGAGAACCATTGTGTTTGGCATATCAGCATATCCGAGAAGCCTCAATGATGCTGCTGCAGGAGACCATGTAAATAAAGCTCCCCAAGATACACATACGTAATACACAAGAAGCACTACAATGTTAAAGATATGCAAATTGAATCAACTCTAGTTTCATGATTTTCTAATGTTTCTTTTCAGGGTTCATTTTCCTTAATAATTGAAGCCTGGCATGATAGCACTTTACATGGTCCCGAATCTGGTAAGGAAATTTTACTATTATCACAGAGCATACACCAATACACACCACAAAACACACTCATAAGTATTTGGAACATTTCGAATATGTCTCCAGAGGGGTAAACTTCATATGTTTCGTATTCCAGAGCAAATTGTATACACAATTACATACCAACACTGGTCAATCGTTACTATCCCATTTCTTTGTTTCTCTATGACATTAACCCTTCTAATATGACTACCCTGCAAAATATCAAAACACAAAAGTCATAAGAAATCAAATATAAAGGCCATTAAACTTGAGTTAGTCGCAATTTGATTCAAACGTTATCTAAACAGAAGTCATTAAAGGTTGTTCCTTCAAAGACGAGGTCTTGCATGTTACACTTTAAACTTGTGTAAAAAATAACATTTTCTTTTCGTTCTCTCACTGTTACATATTAATTAGGTTTTAGTTTATTTTCCTCATTAATCAAAGAAAGGCTGAAAACATAAAGTTTAAGATAGAGCGGTTACACCAACCGTCTGAGACTTAACATACAATAAAAGGTTAATGAAGAAGGCACGCGTTATGGTTAAGGTTTTAAAGATAAGCAGGAAGCGAGTCTGGATTTTATTAAAAAGTTTTAAAGTTTGGAATGAACAGTTTTTAATAGCTAACTGTTAAAGTATAGGATATATAACTTATGCAAGATGAGATGGTTTTAGTTAAGTGATAGAGAAGACAAGACTCAACAGATGCCATCCTCGTCGGCTTCAGTAAAACTATGTTAGCTTTCCTTTTTTCATTCTGTGTTTTAATTTGCAGATGTAGCCCATCTGTTTTTCTAATTTTGTGGTCTTAACTTCTCCCTTTCTTCAGTATGCTTCGTTAGGCAATCACTTTTATCAAAAGAGAAGCTTGGCTTTTCTTTCATATCTTACTCAGTAGGAGGGTTGCAGACACATAAAGCACCATCATATTTTCCCACTGTCAGTTAATTTTCCCTTTCCATCATAGAATTCTACCTTGAAGTTAGAATAATACTTCAAACTTTGATAAAGAGTTTGGTAGCAAGCAACCCAAATAGTCAATTGGTTGATATCTAAAGAGTATATGAGGCAAAATTGGCAATATACTCTACACATGTTATTGAGAAATCATTACTAGTAGCTGGCAGATAAAAACTAGAATAGTAAAAAGCTCAATGGTTTCATCGTTTGATATTTTCATTATTTTGACTAAATTTCTAGGTTTTGATCAATTAAATCAACTCTTGAGTGTAGTTGATAGATTGCATTATCTAGTAGCTTCTGTTCGTACTGTTGATATAGCTAACTTCTGAAAGTATTCCAAATAAACTGTTGCTAGGAACTCGTGTTGAGGATAAAAAAGGTCTGAAGGCGATCTGAGGCTGGGTCTTGTAACTGCTCGGTTACAAACCACAAGTAGAATGATACATTGAAAACAAATCGAGCAAATCACTAAAGTCGTTCTTGTGAATACATTATTTAAACATCAATACATGCAGCTGTTGCCTTCATCCGAAATATACTAAAGTAACTTCTGGCCGCATTCTGGATTGTTTTGGTTTTGAAAGACATGCACGTGTATCCAATTGCATATGTTACAAAACCATATAATTTGCCATGTTTTGGTTGGTGCCTAATAGTAGATTAATGAGACCTTGACCTTCAGGTGTTTTGATGCATTATGCAATAATGAGATTGCAATTTTATAGTATTGTTATTCACAGGGTTGCAACAGCTTGGTTCGTATGTGTTACTGTAACTGGGTTAATCAAAAACCATTATCGTTATTGTTAAATCAGATAGTAACTTAATACTATTACTAAGTTTATCAGTACTTTAGAACGCATGTAAACAAACTTGTTTTGCATTGCATAGAACGAAGCACTAACGATTAAATTGTCATAATTTGTATTCTATTACGACGCAAGTAGATTTTCAGAGAGTTTGCTGATTCGTCTAGATTGCCAGGAAAGGGGAAGTTAGACTATAAACGAGAGAATTCGGTAAAATGTGGGGAACATATATGTTGATTGTATGTTCCTAGAACATATGTTAACATCTTTTACACCTTATATATTCATATCTCGACTTCCCAGCTGATACACCTTCATACCGGAAGTTCGTTCTAGCCAGGAATTTAATTTCATCTTTTGGCACTCTTTCAATTAACAGGACATAACAATGTTTTCGTACTTTGATTGCATCATTATGCACAGGCAATTGATCGTGGTGTACTATGGATGCTTACACTCGAGTACGAGTTCAAAGAAAACTCGAAAGTATGGGATGGGAAAATGACTGATCGCAATCAATATGCATATATGCATACTAGCTTATTTATATGCATAGATTGTTGCCAATGAAAATAGTTCAATATAAAATAGTGCAGCAAAAACTATATAGGTCATTAATTCATTTTAAGGTTTTTTCAAACAAGCGGCAAACAGGTGAAAATACTAGAAATTTTCCCAGTCTTATCAATATAAACATATTTCATTTCACAATATACCTTAATGGTTAGGGTCTTCCTAGTATCTATTCTAGTAGGGTTACAATAGTGCAATGTTTTATGAGCATAAGTTTTCATAGTATTTTATCTTGTTCAATAACGCCATGTCCTAGCTGTATTTGGTTCCTATTCAAGATTTTAGGAATTGTTTATTAGGGATCTCGAGTTGTTAACTTAGATATTGTGTGAACATCCCTTTGTTGACAATGACAGGTGACCCCTGCTCCCTCGCTCACCCTATAAAAAGTTTGTAAAGAGATTTTCCCAGGGTTGAATTCGTTGATGTAAGCGGGGTGGTGTTGTCCAAGATATTGTGATGGTCTAACGGACAATAAGTGTCGTGAGAGGGTATTAATTATCCTAGCTTTAGTCCTGGCTATTTGACACATCCTCTCGGCCCATTTTGGCCATGAGAAAGATGAAACTTGACTCTTATAAACCAATTCTGATGGAAAAATATCCACTCCATCATTATCAAAAACGTGATCTTGCTCAAAAACCAAAATGGCGTTATTTAATGAAATGAGTTGGTAAAGTCAAAAATGAGATTACGACGTCAAAAACAAAATGGCGGAAACAGAGTGAATCTGTCATCTAAGATATTGCATGTGATAAAAAACAATAATTTCACTCAATTATTGTGTCATCTCAATATTATTCCATCGACAAAGATTGTCCACAGATAAAATAGGTCTACATCAACACCATTCTGAATATCTATTGTCTTTACCTCTTCTATTGAGGAAATGCGTTTTGATTTACCGTTGCACAATAGCAGTTGCAATTTGACACTGCACAAATTATCCCTCCTTAAAACTGCTATTGTTATTCAAATTGGCCATTGATTTACAATTCCCCTAAGTAGATTTCCTTCTCTTGTCTAATTCCTATACACGGAATAACTCCATTAAATATAACCTGACATTAAGAACTACAAACCAATCCAAATTACCATTAATTTACAGAAAAATTTACAGAAAAATCATTTCATGTTATTTTTTTATTGTTGTTTTGCAGGAAGTCCAAGGGAATTGATTGCCAGAGTTGCAGTGCAACGATCTGCCGAAGTCGGCAAGGACTGGTACACATTCAAACACGATACTCCTTATTCGGAAATTAACTACAGTTATCGTATCATTTGTGGCGAATATTATTATGGAGCTGGATGTTCTGAATTCTGTCGTCCAAGGGATGATCAGTTTGGACATTATAAGTGTAGTACTAATGGAACTAAGATCTGTTTGGATGGCTGGAGTGGAGATATGTGCGAAGAAGGTAAGAACAGTTCTATTACGTCCCTTTGTTTTAGCTGTAAACAGGATTGGTACCCTGGGGCCCTTTTTCATCACCATCTCTTTCCCTTGGTGTTCTGTCTTCAATCTGTCAACAAGTTCAGTTGCATTAAATTGCTTGAATTTCTTTCTTAATTACCTTTAGTAGTTAACAAAGATTAATAATACATGCCAACAATTATTTTGGATACAAACTAAGCTTGTTTTCGTGTTAATTAGGGGGTCAGTTTTGAATAAGGTGTAATAATTGGGGTCCCAACCCAATTGTCCCCTGTTTAAATGGTCGATTGAAGTAGTAGGGGTATTTGTAAATACCCTTTATGTATGTGTTAATTTCACTATAGGTAAAACTAAACATATAAGATAGGTAAATTAAGAGTTGAAAGCATTAGGTAAACGATTTTCAAGTGGCCTTCAGTCTTTAAATTAATGACTACCTCGGGGAATTGGGATGTAAATAAACGAACTATAACTTGATAAACACCCACTTGATGGCGACTAGAAGTGGTCAGAGAAATCCGAGATAATCTTACAGACCCCTTTGATATAGTAAGGGATTAATTTCAATAACTATTCACTATTGGCCACGAGTGGGCAGTGGCTATTCATTGATGGTGAACATTGTCTGGTGCACAAGTCTTTAGCCTTGAGCTCTAAAGACGGGTCAATAGTTTTAAAACTCCACAAAACTGTGTTTTGAAAATTTCTTAAACCAATAGCTGACCATCAGGAATTCGACTGAAAATGACTTTTTAAATCATTAGTAAGTTTACACATGCAGTTTAAACGTTTTACCAACAAGAAAGCTCTGGCCTCTTAAAATACTAAAGGGGTTGGAAGTAGAAACTAGTTGATTATACATCAAAGTAGTAGCTTTTAGTAACCAGCAATAAAATTTGGTACATATGGGGATGCAATAGCATTTCTTAGTGTGCCGATATTTCAGTCTAACTTCAAAACGTTGGATATTTTCCCATGATTATTTTACGATAGAGAGCCAGCCATCTGCTTGATGAAAGAATTGAAGTTTTCGTGATATTCAGATGCACAATACAAGTTGTATTTTATCACTGTGGTGTCTTTTATTGTTGGAGCCATTATGAACAAAAAACGTAAACAATATGTGCTCCATGGTTCAACGATCTTTCAAAAACCTGAACAAATTCAAACCAGTCAAGTCAATATGCTGTGGTTTAGTTTGTATGATGAACCGCATGTGAAAGACTTATTTAGGTCGTAATACATCGATTTTCCCTGTTTTTTTCTTGTTCAGAAAAAGCTCAAATCGATAAGACGATTTTTTTCTTCATAATTTTCTATCATAGCGTGAGGCAGATTACCATGACAATGCATGTCACTGCTGGTTTTTACAATGTTTTGCATCATCAGAGCAATTGTTGCATTTTAATGCATTGAAAAACATTGTAATCTTGAACATCTAGCGCTAGAGATTTAAAACGTTATTTAAACGTTGGTAACAATGATTTTACCAGCAATGCGGAATTCATAATATTTGTTTGGCATTAATAATTGATGAACTTTTAATAAAAGGAACATTGTTTGTCTATCATGAACAGGTAACCCGATAAGAAAAGCATTATTAATTCTTCGCCTATCTCGTCTATTGAAAGAAGAAGAGTTTAAATTTGGGTTATATTTAAAATATAAAGATTGGAGGATGAGATTGAAAGCGACAGGTGCTCTCTTCATATCACTATGCCGCCATCAGACATGTTACCTTCAAATTATTCAACTTCTCAAATTCCTCCACGAATTCGTTAAGAGAAAGTTTGGTAGAGATCACCATGCCTTACCCCCAGGTTCAAGTGGGGTGGGGTCCGTTTGACCAGCTGTCCGGATTCCGATATACCAGTGGACAAAACGGCGTAACCGAGAACAAAGAAAGCGTAGTCGTTGCGTCCATTGTAGAGTCAGCTGTCCGTTGTCCACTTTGCCCTTTACCTGACCAAAAGTTACAGCTGCTCGATAGCAAAACAGTTTCCATGACACCCATAAAATAGTAATTAATCGTAAAATTTGGCCGCCTTCTTGTCGATTTTATATTAAACTAAGCCATGAAATAAAACGATTTTAAATTGAATTTTCTACTGTAAAATAGCTGGTGGTAACTTTAAAACCCCAACTATGTTTAATTTCAAATTAATCAAGCCGCCATATTGTATTTTCAAGAGATTTTTGATAAAGATTTGATTGATATTTGGTTTCGTACAAAATATTTGAATGTTATGTCAAGCCCAAGTGGTTGATTGATATTTTAATGAATAAATGATTAGATTGTTTATGTTTATTTTGATTTGATTGCAGCAATGTGTTTACCTGGTTGCCACCCAGACCATGGATATTGTGACAATCCCAACGAGTGCCGGTAAGAATTTATTCATTATTTATCTCGACCTTGAGACGTGACCTTCAAGACTCTAACATTTGTTATCCTTTAAATCTAATTATTAATTTCAATTTAAATCTGGTTATCAAACTCGTGACCTTCGACCTTTGATGTTTATATTTAGGGTTGAATCCCACGAGGGCCATAATCAACGTGCCATACCCTGATTTGTTTGTCATGGTGTCAAAATTTCATTCGAGCGAATCAAAAACAATGGCTATCATGGAATTTTGGATATAATATTTAGTCATAAATCAACGAGTCAGATAGGATTGTTTATAAATAGTAGATGTTGTTATGATTTGAGTCAATAGGCGAAGATTATGATATTTTGCTGTAGAATTTATAATGAGTTTTACGCCGGTTCCTGTTAATTTCGGACATTACTCTACCCCACGAAATATAATCTAATAAAGAACGAAATGTTCTTAAAACCATTCAACATTAGAATACGACCAGCATTTTATTCTTATTTAACATTCAGAAAATTGGATGTAAAACTCCCATCAGTCCTATTTAATGCTCAGTTTCTTATCGTAATACAACTAACTCATATCTGTCTTTTTTCAGGTGTCGTTTAGGATGGCAGGGCAACTTCTGTGATGCTTGCATCAATTATCCTGGGTGTCAACACGGTTCCTGCTCCAAACCGTGGCAGTGTAACTGTGAGGAAGGCTGGGGAGGATTATTCTGTAATCAAGGTAAGAATAATTTCTACTCAAAAGGTCAGAGCACCTCGATCTCAACATTAAACTCCCAGTGCTAGCAAGATGAGAATGTACATGTTCTAGTGAATAGACAAGTCGAGATAGAGATATTGCTATGGGAATACACATATTTGCAATCAATTGAAGCAACAAACACAAGTTGAAGGTGTAACTCGGGAAGAATTGACTTGTATTAAAAGACTTAAAGCAGACTGAATCAATGAATGTATTGTGTTTATAGTAAATTATTGATCGGAACTTTACTATAGTAGATTTAACTTGAGACCAGGTTGGTATTACTTCGTGGGTTAATGTAACCAAACCCAGCAAACTCTTCACTAATAAAACATACACAAATTACTGAAATTGACAAGTATACACATTATTAATTATTACATTGGACTCGCATCAAACCAATAGAAACATTTTAAGAGTAATTGCATGATCAATGGTAATTCTAAAAACATTACCATGCTATTTTTGGATAGGTTAAGTGTAAAAGTGTTCTCTCGTCCTATGTACACCAGCACATCACCTGTTGGAGATATAAATATGGCGCCTGAGCGGCTTGTATGATAAAACTATTATTGATTATAAGAACCTAATATGACAAGCTATTCTAATTAGTATTTAGAGATATTGATGAATTGAACTTCTTTACAGAAAGACAAAGCTTCTAGTATTAAATCGCATCATTTATTTGAAAAAAAGATTTTTGTCGTGACATTATCATTTAGAACCTTGTATTTCTTTAACTATATTAACCCATCGTTTACAGACGGGATGTTATAGAAATTTCGACATCAGTTCCATTCTTTGACATTTCAGACAATTTCTTCGTGATAGCTTCTTACTGAATTCCCTGGGAATCTAAATCTCCCTAAAATAAAGAACTTGTTTTTCAATGTGATATAGATACTAGATAAATATAATACATAATTTACTTTAATACCACCAGAGACTGTCGTATTGTCTGTGACTTCGCTCTAAAAACAATTCCATTACACAGCAAGAAAAACAACCAATTCTAGAAGATTGGGAGATAAAATGTCTAAGAATATTGTTCGACACGAAAAGAAAATCTGAATTGATTTACAATGAAACGTTTTCCAAAGATTTTTTAAAGAAATAAATAGGCTAAGGACAGATGGCTCTTCTTTTAAAACTGTCATGTTTGAGTTTTGTTTGAAGTTTGCCTCCAAATTTTTAATTAGTTTTTATGTTTTTTTCATTCTAGATTTGAATTACTGCACCCATCATAAACCATGTAAAAATGCCGGTACCTGTACTAATACTGGCGAGGGTAGCTACACATGCACCTGTCCCCCAGGATTCTCGGGTACTAATTGTGAAATAGAGTATGACGATTGTGAAAGACGACCCTGTTTGAATGGTGGTAGTTGCAAGGTAAGTGATACTTCAAACTCTTTTATTCTTTTCAAAGTACCTTTAGAAAACAAAATGGCGCCATTCATCTCAATTCGTGTTAACTATTAGTTTCGCACTTTATTCATTCATTTGAGTTTCGTATTTGCATCTGATTAATGGAATATTCCTTGTTGGTATTTTATTCCAACTCATGTTAAGTTATAACTATTAGTTTCGCACTTCAGTCAGTCCTTTTAGTTTCGTACTTGCAATTGATTTATGGAATTTTCCTTGTTGGTATTTCAGGACATTGGAATTGGATATCGATGCCAATGTGAATCGGGATTTTATGGTAAATCATGTGAGCATGAGGCTGATTCCTGCAAAACCAATCCTTGCATCAATGGCGGAACCTGTACTGAAGATGAAGCGAGCTATACATGTCAATGTGATGCTGGTTACACTGGATTAAATTGTGAAATAGAGATCAATGAATGCGATCAACATCCTTGCAAAAATGGTAAGAACTCGTTTAGTTTAGTTTTAATTCCAAAACTTCATTATAACCTAGAAAGATGGTATAATAAAAACTGAACTACCGCCATTTTATTGGTATTGATCATTTGAAATTTACTACTTTATTTTACTTATTACCATGTTTGATTTTTACTGGGTCATAAAAAATGAGGATAAAATCTAAGAAAGTTGTTTCGAACGAAACGAAGTCGTAAAGATGAAGATTTGTAATAGTAAATAGTTCTATAAACTTCTGGCTAGGATTGTAGCGTTTTATTCTTCATGTAGATAATTACACTCAATATTGTACGAAACCCTGGCAAAATATTTAGCTGCATATTGGCTGTATGCCGAGTAATAATTGCGTAAAAAACACCGACCTAGAATGCGGCATTTATTTACCATTGGTTAGAAAAGAAGCAGGATTCACCGTTACCTTGGTATAGAAACACTAACTCATGATTTATACTGACATTTTCTTCAAATCATTTCATCTACGTTTTACTCATTATCTGATTGGGGATTGAGCAACCATTTGTTTTATGATTCGCAATGAAGATTAGCATTTTTAAAGATGATCTTCTAAAAAAATTGTTCGAGTTGAACTAGTTCTTGGTTTGGTTTAGTTCGCGTGGTCTTATTACTGACTACTCTAGTGCCCGTTCAGGACCATATCTATTTAGGCATTTTTTAATTGTGTTGAGTTAGACTAGTTCTGTGTTTGATTCACATGTTCTTGACTGACCACTCTTCTTGTGTCCATTCAGGCCCATATCTATCCAGCAACTTTCAAATATATTGATCATTTCTAAATAAATACTCAGGTTAACTGTTGTCAAGCGGAAACAAACCACCATTACTACAATCAACATTGATAAAGGAAATCAATCGGTCATCAATTGTCCAGTAATGATCAATACTGACCGATCGTCAAGAGGCTGTCCAGTTATAGCTATAATCACTAGAGACAAATGATTAAGACCTAAATAATGATACTCTGTCAATTTTAATACTGGGTAATATCAATAAATCCCATCTAACACCATGATGACTAAATACTTAGCTAGTAATAGTGGTCATTATCGGACTTGACTGGTCATCACATTGGTCAAATGTTAACAAGCAATTTATTATTGACCACTCTCGTTATTTAATTGATTCAAACCAGTGGATATGTTGATGATTTGTGTTAATGAAAACTTTTATCGGATATTTCAGGGGGTCGCTGTATTGATCAAAGAAATGGATTTCGATGCGTTTGCTCTACTGGATTCGAAGGTCCTACATGTTCGGACAACATCAACGACTGTGTTCATGATCCCTGCCAGAATGGTGGTACTTGTTTGGATTTAATCAATGATTATGAGTGTCGCTGTAGAGCTGGATTTATCGGACCCTTGTGTGAAATCAACGTGGATGATTGTGAAACACGACCTTGTGCCAATGGAGGTATCTGTAGCGATCTGGACAACGATTTCAAATGTCACTGTGCTGATGGTTTCGCTGGCAAGGATTGCCGAATTAATATCAATGATTGTGCTGATATCCCGTGCCGTCATGGCGGTAACTGTACCGATTTGGTGGACGATTACAGTTGTGACTGTCCAGAAGGATTTTGGGGCAAACGATGCCATCTTTATGAAGGCATGCCTCCTATTGAGGAGACCACAGAGTCACCGGAATATACAACCCAAGAGTTTACTACACAAACACATGAGGTGCAAGTAACTGAAAAAATTATTCCTATTAAAACGAATACTAGTGAAAGGTCGGCGGAAGACGAACCACTTTCAACGCCTGAGTTACTGTTAGTGGTGTGTTTAGGAGTGGGAATTCCCCTCATATTAATTATAATAATTGTGATAGTGTTATTATGTAGACGAAAAAATAATCTTATGAGAGACAATATGGAGAAAGAAAGAGAACAAAATATAGTGAACAATATTAATAATAAAAAAATAGACTCGAAAATATTTACTACACCAACAAACACTAACCCCGTGGCGAGTGCCAGTATTAAAATTAACAATGAAGATAAAGACTTCAAACCCAAAAAATTAAATACAAAGCAAAATATTTTAGAAAAATCCAGTCCAAAACACTATATAAAAGACTATAGCACACACGAACAATATTATCCGTGTAAAAGAGACTTAAAAAGGGATGACTATGAAAAATCGTGTAAAAGATTAGATGTGGAATCTCTTTCAGCGGATACTAGAACGGATATTAGGTAGGTTTTGTGATTTTATGATTTTATTTCATCTGGTTTTCCAGGCCAATACAAGGTTTACCTTGTCTTTTGGTCCATTTTAGTACTTTCTGGTAGACTCTGACAGATGTATTGAAACTGGAAACAGAACATAACCATCTCCGTACTTCTCAGTCCCACAAATGAGTACCCCGGAGTCATCTCAATATGAAAAATGCAGTTCAATCCCAAAATATTAAACCATCCCAATACGCCTCAAACCACGGAACAAGTCAAACGGTAAAATAATTGCATGAAACATTTAGCCGATATCTGTTGCCAACGTTCCTGCTAATCGCGGTTTTAAAAATAGGTTATTCTGCATGAAAGAAGTTCATGATGTATGAATACACGTTGGACGCCGGCCCATTTTATTTACTCTGGTATATTTGCTTGTAATAAACAGGTGTTTTCCACTGTACATACATAAATATCATTAATAAGATAGGCCTTATAGGTTCACCTTGTAGTGGGCCAGAGCAAATAGCTGATTTTTCAAGTCCACTTGGACTGAATAGATCTACATTGGAAGGAACACCCTTTTTGCTATTAGACTTTTAGACATTTGAGAGTTGATTTCGGTTTGAGTTTATATTTTTAGATACACAATTTCCGAAAAAGGAGTAAAATGAAATCAATAAAATGCTCGAATTTGCTGTTATCCAAATGATAATGTAACTCAGTTATTCAAGAATAATGCGAGAATGATATACTAGGTGAAATATTTGACCATAATACAATCAAGCATTATATTTCTATTATCAAACTTATAATAGCCATTATATATCACAGTTAGGGATCAATAACTCGAAGAATAAACTCTTAAAGAAAGTGAAAAGTCAATCGACTCTAACAAAGACGTGAAATTGTTGAATAATTTGTAGCTATTCAGAGACCAGTCAGATACAGCAGGTTCTTTTCCTCGCGAGCTATTTATAGTTTGTGTATATATTGCTATTGGAATATCATCTGTAAGCTATATACAGCCTAGATGTTGAATATTTACATTATAATTCATTTCTCGTCTTTACCTTTATGTTATAACATTCACCTGTGTTCTCTCGAAGAATTAACCTATATTTATGGCGCCTTGATGCAAACTTCTGTAAACCATGCAGTTAGAGATCTCTTCGATATATCGAAAATTGATTAAGATTTGAAGTAAAATGCTAGAAACCCATAGCTAACAAAAAGAATAAGTGATTTTGCATAATTTAATAATAATAATGAAATCTTTATAATAATTTACGAGGGTCAGAATTTGGTTCATTACTGCAAAGTGATTGGCATTGTCTAGCATTTAGCTCCTGGAACATGATCGAACACTGAAGTTTTCAAACTTTACTTATGATTATGTTTTTTATATTTTTCAGTGATTACAGTTCGCAGGATATCCATGTTATTTCCAAACCTTTAAACAGAGACAATAGAAATTCTATGCTTGTACTGGAACAAAAGAGACCTCATTATGCCGAGGACGTGTTAGCCACTGAAGTTTAATATTATAAAGGGCATTGTTATTTAATGAACCAAACGGAGTCTAATAGTGCACAAAAGTATATAGTGATAACATACAAGATGCAGAGAATTCTATAAATAGTAACGTGTGGATGGATTTAAAGTGCCTTGCTGTTTCTAAAAGATGCAACAAATGATTCATTACTTGTGAATTATGGGATACTATTATTATCTATGTATACAAGCTTTCAGCCTTGTACATTATGCAAGCTTTTTTCCTTGAAGAGCTGTAATATATCTAGGCTAAAAAGCACCCGAAACGTTGTTCAAGGGCAAGGATATGAATGGAATTTTAAATTGAAGGAATGCAATTCCAACGCACATGAAAGAACTATGACCATTATGTTAAACTATAAAACCTGGACCAATGTTAGAACACAAATCACTGCCAAGACTATATGTGCTAATTTTTCATTTTCATTTAAAACTGTGTTCATTTTTTCATAAACATACAAACAATACGGCAGTCGATTCAAACAATATTTGATGCATTTTGTCTACATTGTCAACAATGAGGCCATACCCCACGAAATAGCTGTGCAATTCTTCATGCCCTCCCGTCTTGTAAAAACCAAAATGGCAGCACAAGAGGCGATTGGAAATGAACATGGAGGTCCAACGCCTTTAACGTTACCAAGGTGTTTTAAAAGTGATGAACTAGTCGAAACTATTGTTATTTTGTATAATGTTATAATGAATGTATGTTTGTTTATATTTTTCCAAATTTCAAATTTGGTTTCTCGTCTTGTATTGGCTGATTGATTCTTTGCCTAAATCACGTGACTAGTCATGTGACGAGATTTAAATTATTTACTGCTGTATAAATTATGAATAATCTTTAGCATTTTTTTTTTCGAATCTTATTACTTTATCCTTAAATTATTTCTTAAAAACTTTCTTTGATTCTGTCTATTTTCTGACCGTACTTAGCCACTTTTCTGAGTCACCGGACTGTGTCTGGATTTTGTGAAGAAAGCATTAAATTATTTATTTTGATACATATCATGAAAATATCACGGAGACAGGTACTTTCCGGTCATTTCGCCATAATTTAAATTAATATTTATTCTTCCCGCCATTCCATTGTCTTCAAGTTTTCATCTGTCTCCACGTGGTGTGTCACGTGACCATCACAACGAAGTTTGACCCCGTTATTAGTTTTCATAAATTCGAAAGTCAAAAACAATGACGAACTTGTTGAGTTTACGTTAAATAGTGTTATATTTTGTCAATCGTTCAGTTTTTGTTGTGTAATTTTTTATAAACATTTTTATACGCAAGGTTTTGTTAATTTGTTATTAGAAACGGAAGAAATTGCACGATAAAATGAGGGTTTTAATTAAGTTTTGTTAAATCGAGAGTTCAAAGTTTTACTGCACTTATTTAGTTTCTGTTTCTTGGGGTCAAAGTCTTAAATCAAATCATGTTCATTAAGAAAAGAATGTGCACTAACATGTACGTACAAAATCATGTATTCATTATTCTGCCTGCCTGTTTGTGTGACTGTGTGATGAACGTGACGGTGTGATTGTGACGATGTGACTGTGACAGCGTGACGTGTGTGATCAAGGAAAAGATAACTGTGATGTTAATCATGTATATAATTATGTATATTTATAGTTGAAAATGTAAATAATAATAATTGTTATCTTCTATATAATTATTTACTATTTCCAACATGATGAAATAAAGGTCACAAATCACCTATTTTTTCAACATTTCACATCCTTTTGTCGTCATTTTATCTTATCAGAGAAGTACCATCACCTGCCACCTGTTCTACTGCCTTCCCATAATCCACTTAGAGTCGTAAATACTTTGCAAGTAGGTCATATGGCAAAATCGATAAGGGAATGTTTTTCTAATGTTACTGCAGAGCAGCTTGAATATCGTTCTGCAGATTTAAATCGAACAAGAGAAGGCTAATGCTGTTTTCCTGGCAAAATTTCCCTCATTGCAAACGTTTCTAACCTGCAATTTTCAATCCCAAGACCTGTGAATATTTGATCAATCCATATATGTATGGTCGAGCAAAGATATTTGTGATCATCCGGGTCCGATTCAAAGGTCACAAACGAGCAGTGCATTTTACTTTAGGTGGAATAAAATCAGTAAAACTATACACATACATTGTGATTAATACTCCTACTACCTAAATATTAAATGGACTGGCCGATCCCGAATGTAAATAAATATCTTTCCTCGACTGCACTAATGTATGGCAAATGCTTCGCAATAGCCTCAAAGATACAATCTGCGTTCTTGATGCACCCTTTTAACAAAATTAGAAAACGAATTCAATTTTGTATCATTTTATTATCATATTTACAATGATTTACAGTTGACTATATACTTCATAATGTGTAGTTGTCGACTTCACTTAAAATTACGATTTGAAATTCTAAAATTGAACAACTCTTCAACGCATCTTGAAACTCAGATGTTTGGTCAGATTTTCACTCATCAGACGTTTCTATAATAACATCATTCACTGGAAAGTTAACAAAATGAGGAGTTTTACTTTCCACGTTTCTGCATCTGATTGGGCTAGTGAGTAACCCATGCATTTCGAAGATGGTCATTTTGATGCCATCGTAACAGTGACATACTTGATAAGCATATGACACAAAACATCGATCTGAAAATAAGTCCATTGTAACAAACCACATTAATTCTCCGTTATCTATCACCAAGATCATTTCGCCCCATTATAATTAAAAATCCATGATGTCAGACTGATGTTAATCAACGTGTAATATTATAATGTCGCCAACACAAAAAGACTAAAAAGCATCTGTAATGAGAAAAAATCTTTCACATCTGAAACATTAACAATGGTCAAACATCCACTTCATTGAAAATAGTTTCAGTTTATGTGGA